CCGCGCCGGGGCGGGCAGCGACCGCCCCGCACGGCCCCGCACAGGGAGGCGATGTTGGCGCCGGACTGCAGCTCAGACGTGAGCCCTGGGGAAGGTGGGTCTGTTTTGTCTTAGCGCGAGTCTGACTGTGCAACTGCATGAAGTGTCGTTTGCCTGGAGCTGCTGCTAGCTGTATGTCGGGGTGCTGCCGCGGTCGTTCGGTATTTCTGGTTAACAGATTAAGAGCCCAAAACGTCATGCTTGGACTGTTTTTTTTCTTTAAGGGCAGCCTCAAGGAACATCACGGTCCGATGATTTGCGAGGGGGATGTTTTCTACTATGAGGCAGTGTTCTTAGACTGGCAGTAACATCTCGTTTTTTCTTTTGGTATCTGGTTTATTTCAGTCTGGTAGTTTCAGCAATCTGTTTGAGGCAGGAACGGCTGTGAACGCACCTGCAGATGCCTTTGGTCAGTCTCCAGCTCACTTGGCTGCTTGTGGTGGTGAAGCTTTTTTCCTACTTTGGCAACTGCAGACAGGAGCAAATTTGAACCAACAGGTAAAAACACATGAGTTTTGCCCCTTCCACTTCTAGTCTGTCATGTCAGTAAATCTAATTAATATTATTTACATATTTCTTATGTAAGAGAGGCTTTTACACACAGCTGTATTGCATAAGGTATCTGGTGTTGCTTATTTTAGAGTAGCTTCTAGCATGAAGCAGAAATCCTGTCTATACTGTGTTAGCAATTTCATTTGCTATGTATAATGTCATTTTCACACTTACAGTGCTGCATGCAAAGAACTTAATTCACACAAATGCGTATTTATTTTTCCTCCAAAATTTTGCCCCTACTTCCAGTAAACGTAAGGATTCTTACTCTAGCTGCAGTTTAATTCGCTTAGACTTCTGAGCTGGTAGCAAGCTGTCGATCACAGCAATCCCTGAGTGATGCTAAAGGATGCTGTATCAGTGTACAGAGCATATCCTGTGTAAATTATCTTTTAGAAGGCACAGATTTATACAATGAGTGTTGCAGGGGACAGCAACACTCTACTTTGTGGTGTGTGTTTCTACTTTGTGGTGGTGAATGCACTAAACATTTAATGGCAGTAGCTAGCTCTGTTCCTTTAATGTCTCTTGCAACTCATGACAGACTGGTACACATGAACAGTCATTTTGGAGAACAAGATCCTGCTTCCCCTTCCTTCAAATGACTGCTATATGTAAATTGTGTTTTTTCAGGATTGCCTTGGAGAAGCCCCAATCCATAAAGCAGCAAAAGCTGGGAGTTTGGAGTGTCTTGCTCTCCTTGTTGCTGGTGATGCCAAAATTGAGTAAGTTGAGCTAAATTTAGTAATTGCAGTAACAGTGTTAAAGGATGTGTATGTGATGCAGTATTTTACTTGTTCAGAACGTGCATGCTAAGGCTGCATGTAGCTGTAAATGTAGCATAACTATAGTCATAAGAATATTAAAAACTGACATAAACACCAAAGTAGTACATACCATAGGCTGTTGTTTAGCTCCATGTTAAATACCTCTGCTGGTAACTGCTGAGACAATATTCCTGATCACAATCTCCCCTTGTTAGTTTTTCATTCTAACACTGTGCTCACCTCTTGGCTTTCTGATATGCTAAGCCAGTCACAGTCTGATGACTATTTAAAAATAATTATTCCTTGCTGTATTTAATACCATCCCTCCGTATGAGCCCCATATGGGGCTATCCCTGACAAACCTGCTTGGTATGGATTCTCTGTACTTATTTTTATACATCTAAATTTACCACTTAATGAGTGCCTGCTCATAATCTATATTCCAGTTTAATTGGTTGTTGTTAATTCTGTGTTTCAGTTTGTGCAACAACAGTGGACAGACAGCAGCAGACCTTGCACTGGCTTATGGCTTTCTGGAATGTGCCAAGTTCCTCACGACAATTCAGCACACTCAGACAATGAAACTGAGAGGACAGTCTGGCTACTCACTCAGTGACACACATGGCTTGCTGAGAGAGGATCCAGCCACACAGAAACAAGAAAGTGAAACCAGGACATGCATAAGCAGGAAGAGGAGAAGATCAGATGGTGTGTAATACTGTTAGTTTAATACAATACAGAGTATTTTAAAGTGCTTTTAGCATCTAGGTAAATAAAGCTGGTGTTATACAGAGCAGTCAGATTTAGAAGCCTGCTAGTAAGGATGAACTTGCATAGGTGGTTAAGGTCTTCTTGGAAACAGACAGTACATGGGGATGCCACTGAAAAGGCTACTTTAACACAGGAGAAAAAAAATCATAGGTACTCTTACTGGTGTACTGATGAAGTAGCCCCAGACTTACCCTTCTGTGTTCATGTGACAGATCTTGTCTCCTAGCTGCCAGAAGAAACAGCCTGGAATCCCAACGTGAAACAAGGGGAATCCAAAGTCTGAAGAAACATGACTAGATGATACATCGAGTGGCCAGATGTGTATGCTAGGACATTGTCTCCTTCTGAGCAGGAGGAAAGCTTGTTTATTGTTACTTCTTACAGAAGAATGTTGTGGTGCTCCCCCCTCCCCCAAACAGTTGTATTCATACAGCTATAAATAAATGAGCATGTAACAATTAATTCTCCTGCATTTTTTCTCTGGCATAAATATGAGAGCAAAATTCATAAAATTCAGTATATATAGCCATTTTTCTCTCGCTCCTACAACAAGTCATCAAAAATACCAGCAGCAAACAATGCCTCTGAACAGGTTCATAGTGCACAAGCCAGCTGGCTGTATGGAACCTGAAAGGCAGAGGACAGTTCATCTTTTTGTCATGTAAGAATTCCATAAAATAAAAGGATTGGTCATTTCATCTGTAACGATTTTAGCATAACAAAAATGCTATATAACAAAGTTGTCCTAGGGAAAAGAACAGAGCATTAGTTGCCTAATAAATGTATTTGTAAGAAACACAGTTCACAGCAGATTAGTTATTTCTATAGGTTTCATTAGGAGAAATATGTTTCTTAATTTAAGTTATTCCACCAACATTTCTATTTCAACTGGCTTTTGATTGACTTAAAGCATTATTTTGGTAAATAACAGGACAGTTTTATCTAGATCAGCTAGTATTCTGGCTTAGGCAAGGGCAAGAGTGGAATTTAAATAGTTTTTGGTCGTTGAGGTAGGCAGAGATTATAATAGGCTTCCTTGTTCCAAAACTCCGGGCCCTTCCATCCACACCAGCCCTGTCCAAGAAAAAGCAAAGATAGCTTTTAAATCTAACACAAATTCTGTTTTTCCTATCTACTACTATTGGCTCTGTTTTACTTTACGAATCATACTAATCTAAGCTCTATGAATTCTTTTCAAGTATCTGTAAAATGCAATGCCAATTTTCAGAAAGTTCTCTATATTCCTGGAAAACATTAATGGAAAACATATTACAGAGATTCTCTCTTCCCCTCCCTC